AAAAAAAGAAGGTAATAACTGCCTTTTTTTGAGCACCGAAAAAAAAATTGTCTCAGATCGATCCGGAAAAAAAATTTCTTATAGAATGTGGCCTGTAGAATCCATAATTTTAAACAGTTCCAAGATTGGGCGACTAGTTCAAAAGTTACAGCCCTTTGAATTTTTTTTCGAAATTGATCTATAACTTTTGATTGAGAAGTCTAATCGAAAAAGTACGAATTGTTGTAGATTCTACACACCAAAATTAATAAGAAAAAGTGTTTTCCCGAGAAATTTTGGTGCAGTCGATTTTTGGTAAAAAAGGAAGGTTATACACTGCCTTTTTTTTGAGCCCCGAAAAAAAAATTGTCTCAGATCGACCCGGAAAAAAAATTTTCTTATAGAATGTGGCCTGTAAAATCCATAATTTCAAACAGTTCCAAGATTGGGCTACTAGTTCAAAAGTTACAGGCCTTTGAATTTTTTTTCGAAATTGGTTTCTAGTCTATAACTTTTGATTGAGAAGTCTGATCGAAAAAGTACGAATTGTTTTGGATTCTACACACCAAAATTAATAAGAAAAAGTGTTTTCCCGAGAAATTTTGGTGCAGTCGATTTTTGGTAAAAAAGGAAGGTAAATAACTGCCTTTTTTTGTGCCCCGAAAAAAAAATTGTCTCAGATCGATCCGGAAAAAAAATTTTCTTATAGAATGTGGCCTGTAGAATCCATAATTTCAAACAGTTCCAAGATTGGGCGACTAGTTCAAAAGTTACAGTCCTCTGAATTTTTTTTCGAAATTGGTTTCTAGTCTATAACTTTTGATTGAGAAGTCTAATCGAAAAAGTACGAATTGTTTTGGATTCTACGCACCAAAATTAATAAGAAAAGTGTTTTCCCGAGAAATTTTGGTGTAGTCGATTTTTGGTAAAAAAGGAAGGTTATACACTGCCTTTTTTTGAGGCCCGCAAAAAAATTGTCTCAGATCGACCCGGAAAAAAATTTTCTTATAGAATGTGGCCTGTAGAATCCATAATTTCAAACAGTTCCAAGATTGGGCTACTAGTTCAAAAGTTACAGCCCTTTGAATTTTCTTTCGAAATTGGTTTCTAGTCTATAACTTTTGATTGAGAAGTCTGATCGAAAAAGTACGAATTGTTTTGGATTCTACACACCAAATTAATAAGAAATAAGTTCTTTGAAGGGCGTAGGTACAAAAATGATATAGGTAACTATTAAGTAGGTACAATTTCCAATAAGAATCTCGCAAGACGTTAGAAGACTTGCCTAATGTAGAAATTGCATTCTTAGCAATTTAACATAAGTAGGTATGTTATTGCTGAATCAAAGTACAAATATTCCCTAGGACGTCGTACTACTTTAGTAAACCTTTTTGAAGAATTTCATATAGATACTTAAAATAAAAGTGAGTGGAATAAAAGAACATATACCTACCTATTATTCATAGTCCATTTTTACTGTACAGTGTAAGGACTATAAAAGAAAATCAAAGATAGGTATTCCTATAATATTTCCCAATTCTAAAATTTCCGGTAAATACAATAGTATTACAATATTGGTAATTTTTGTTTTTATTTCATATTACTTGATTATTCATAATTTTAAATGTATATAAACACAATATTTGCAACAATTGGCATGAAATATGCTAACAGTTTCTCACTTAGAATAAATTCAGTAAATCAAAGGTTTTCCTTTCGTAAATATGGTCGGCCATGCTTTGTATACCTACTAGAAGGCGAACTGGTGCTGCAGGCGAAGAGCTGGATGTTTATTGAAGCGCCATTGAAACAGGAATTACCTATTTGTACTTTGCAGAGTTCAGAGGTTCAGATGTTACACACTCATCGGTTGACCGTTTTGACCAATGAGGGTCCAGCACGTACGTTTTAGGTTGCTGCCGGATGTGCAAGCGGCGCGTCGCCACACACTCCACAATAATTTTTATATTTCTACTGACTTCTTCTAAAATTTTTTGCTATAGCGATACACAAACTTCTGATCAACTGAACAAGAGTAAGGTAATAACAGAGTGCAGAGTCCCTTACTATGCGTTGTTGGCATACAAATCTTGAACCGTATAGCTAGATTCTAATCTATACGTAAGAGCTTGTCAAGGGCAAATTTTTTACTTTGCGTCTTTATAGGTATATATTGTACCTTGTACACACGTTCGTTATACAGCGCTAGGTATCGACAAAGAGCTCATTAATTATTCTTTCGTTATTCAGATTAGGTAAAATGCGGTAGGTTTTCAATGAATCCACTTTCACAAGGAAATAGTCTCATTTGCTAGCTTGAAATAGCCCATTCTACTTCAGTAATTCCAAAATTACAAGCTTGTTTTCTGGTTATGAAAGTAAACCTTTTTTTGAAAGGTTTATTATCCCACAAAAAAAAGTTGCTGCGGTTATACTTCAAAAAGATACGAAATACAATTATTGAAGGCAAATACAGTGGACTGTACTCACCTGGATCGAAGAACCAAAACTCATGTCTCCAACCCTAACTTGTAATTTACAAATCATATTCTAAGGAGTTACATGCAAAATCAAATAGGTACAAGACACCATATAGCCAGGTGGTATATTCAGGGGGCTATAGTGCCATGTTGCAGTCATCCTGTCAAAGCTGTCTTTCATGTTTCAAACCAAGACATCACTTAATGTAACAGTAAGGTGGAAGTTTGATGGCTTTTAATGAAACTGCTCGCTGTATAAAAGAACCCTTTTATTGAACCAAATCTATCATCTACACAAAGTTACAATTTCTCATAGCGATATGATTTATATGACAAATATTTAATATAAAATAATTATTTGGTGGAGGTGACTATATCACATAACTCTCAATAAATAATTGGCTTAAAATAAGGACACTTATTTGTAATGAATTTTGACATTTTTCAAAAAGCACCAAATAGTAATGACAATAATTCAACAAATACTTAAATCGACACCTCTTTTTCGATTTTTCATGTGAGCCCTAATAATAACCGCGAAAGCGTCGCGACCTATCAATTCATAGTTGGTTGCTAAAAACCGCGCGATTGTCGAATTTAAACTGTCAACTCCGTGCGCTAGAATATTCCAACCCAACTCGATACCGGTTCCAAAATCGCATTCGTCCGTAGCTATACTCGTTGCGGTTAATACTGGTTGCAGCTCGGACATCACCTTTTCTTTCTGTTGAGGAGATGCTTTACCTACTCTGTCTAGCAGCTTCCTCAATTCCGCAGCTCCAACGCACAAGTGGCGATATCCAACTTGCGTTCTACAAGAGGCTATTAGAATTTCAACACACATACATTCAAAGGTGGAACTGTTGCTAAACTTCCTCTCATTGGAGCTATTAAAATGGCCCAATCAGAAAAACAAATGAGCATCTGGTTATCAAGATCTTCAACAAAATAGCTTTTTTTTTAATTGAACTGAACACCTTGCACCATTGTCTCAAGTCGGTAACCTCAAAGCAAATATTTCTTAAATCGAACACCCTGTATATTTTTACATAGGTATTTTGAAAGAAAATTAAATTATGGACATAATCTCAGTCAATCAAATAGTTAAGAGCTATTGATAAAAAAAATGTTAAAAAATCAATAATAACTAAAATTGCACATAATGTGTGGCACTCAATTGGTCAAAAAAAAATGCCTTTATGAAAATCTAACGAATTTCAGTATTCAATAGCCACATTTTGTTAGTATACGCAGTGTTCTATTTATTAACAAATATTTCTTTTAATATCTGGATACCCCAATGCTCGATAATTTTTTGGTTCTGTCATTCTAATCCTAAGACAATAAAACATTTAGCAATAGCGGCCACATCAGTTCTACCCCCGGTGTGTATACATACTTTCGATTGTAGGGCACCACAAGCCCAATTGAATTGAACGTGCTGCTAACTATCTTTGTATTCCGTTCTTTAACATGCGAGGGTTTTAAGTCGAGTGAAAGCTTCAAATTTTCTGCCTGTTTCTTAATTTTACCCTGAAGATTTGTTACAGACAATTTCTTAAAGGGATCGCAAATTTTCTTAAATGCCTCCATCATGTGCCTACAGAAATCCAATGGTTAAAGTGAAGTTTTAGTATGCACACTTACCAAACGGCCGCGAAAATGTTGCCACCGACACAGGTTAAGACCCCATCTTTTTTTGCGTGATTAGCTGCTAAAAATACGGGTAGGTCGTTAGGATCGTCCCTGAAGTAGCCTATGTGATACTCGGTGCTGTCGTTTCCTTTAAGAACTGTTTGAAATTCGGGTGGATCGTGGTAATAGCGCCAGTGAATAAGGTAGTCATCGGTGGGTTTGTTGATATTTAACAACTTTTGCGATAATACATCGTAAGGGCCCACCAATTCCAAACCGATCTCTGAAAATGCTTTGGATGGGTTAGCTTTGTTTAAAGTTTGACAGTATTCCCAAAGCATATAGAAGTCATCCGGCATTTCTACCAAAAACTTTTCCTTAATGAATTCTTTTGGATAAACAGTAGAAGAGGTGGTAGCTGTCGGCTCTTCTGATTCAGCAATGGGTGCGGGTGGTGAATCGGAGCTCCCATTTTCGGATTCATTCTTGGCCTTTTTGTTTTCTACTTCGGAAGCAGCTTCCTTAAAATTGACCGAAATGAGAAATGCACCTACAAAAAATATCTCACCTCCGCTGGCCGTTTCTTGGGGGGATGTTTATATTTCTCTTTATGGGCGGCGTTCTTTTGGTAACATGAAATTCCAAATTTACAAGGAGTGCGTGGGTCTTTAACGTAATGATCGTATTCTTCATCTGGTGTTACCATTTTCATAAACAGATCCAGATACCCCAACAAAAAAATTTATAACATAACCTAAAAAATCATTCAAATTAAGTGGCTAAACAACCAGCACGGCTGTGATCTCCCTGTACAAGAGATACAGTCAATGTACAGGGTGTCCGCGGACGAAGTTAGTTGATTATTAAAATAGGAAATTCGTATCACGTATGTCAAATAGAATGAATTATTTTGTCCTATATGCGCATGAAACTAATACCCTTTTACTGTTTCACAGCTTCCCTTTAGAAACTCAAATGAGCAACGTATTGCGAAATTAAGACATCTGAGGTATTTTATCTGCTCTCCTGCTACGTGGATCTGCACAAAGGTATGGGATCTAAATAGTTAGGCATGATTCAGCAACTTTTATTGTTTCAGGGCCTCCGTCTAGGAACTCACAAGAGCGTATGAAATTAAAACGTCTGCTTCCCTGCTGCACAAAGGTAAAACATTGTTATTTCCTCTAAGAAATCTGGGGTGCGCCAAAACTTCCACCTCCACTTGCTTTTTATGGATTTTTTAAAACGATTTATATGAAATCGACCGGAAAAACTTTTTCGTATAGATTTTGGGCCTGTCGAATGCAAAATGGTCGGAATTTTAAAGATTGGACTACTACATTAAAAGTTATATACCTACAGTAATATTGGGATTTCCTATGTCTAGTTTTAAATGACAAAAAAAACTCTTCTGGAGACTGGAGTACATCTAATTTTACTTCGATCTCCAGTCCTCGATATCAGAATTATTACCACGTAGTACGTTCCTGAACTCTTGCGTAACGAGCACATGCTTTTGTTTAAATAAAAGAGATTCTCAAACCGGCGCTGTAGTCAAGGCGCACTCGTCACCTCGTGCAAGTTTAAGTGCAAGCGTTTCTGTGCTACGCCCTGCATGTGATTGCTTTTTGCACTTCAGCATTTTTCTATTAGTGAATTGTTTTTTAGTTACCTACTTGTACATCTACATACAGTAAGTAGGTTTATATCTCTATACTTTTAGCTCATTAACAGACTCCCGGAAACTTTGTACCTACCGTTCGGGGCGGTTTCCTTTTTTAGGGTTTCCCCCTTTATAGTTAGCGAAAGCACAGATTAGTATTGTCTGTGGCGAAAGCCAAAGCATTAGAAACGTTCTCGCTCACGTTCTCGAAGCAGGGACAGGGGCGACAAGCGTCGTTCTAAACGACCTCGCCCAAGAAGCCAAGAAAAGCCTTCGTCAGCGTCGCGTCGGACGATATTCTACGCCGCCTGTTAAACTTATTGAAAGAAAGAATCGATTCACGGCACAGTAGTTCCCTTTCTCGAGTTTCGGTTTTACCAGGGGAAAGCGGTGAGCGCCTTTCTCCAGGACCTTCATCATCCCATTGTTCGCGCTCTCCTCACTAGGATCTAGTCGTCGGTGACCGATCCCCAAGCGGTCAAGCGGCACCGTCGTCATGTCCGGATTTAGAGTTTTCGCCAGAAGCCAAGGAAGAGTGCACGCCTAGCGCGGTACCTTCCCGGGCGGGGCGGCATCTCCTTTGGATGATGCAGACGATGTACTTATCCTAGAGAAAGACTACAACTTTACTGAAATTTTAGAAAAAGAGCCGAACGATGAAATAAATTTGTTTATTCACGATCATATTGTAATCAGCCTCATAATTGTCATTTTGAAGGATAAAAGGAAGTTGTGTTTTACAACACTTATTTTTCCAGGAGGGAGGAAAGTAGATTCTCGAGGTTAGTAATGTTCGATTCGAGGTTAGTAATATTCATTACTTTAAATAAGGCTTTAGCCAGTAGGTGGAACGTAAGTTTACGTAAAGGAATTCCTCCTAAAGACAAAGACACCTTAAAGGATGTTAAAGTTCCTACCAATCTTGTCGCCACCAGCGAGGGGCAGATTGTCGTTCTTTTTTTCGGTGTGGAGGAAGTTTACTTCAAATGCCATGGTACTGGATTATATTTCAGGGTATAAAATACCTTTTTTGTCAGTACCGAAACAAAGGTTTCCTCCGAAGCAACTTACGTTAGTAAAGAATACTATCACGGATCTACTTTCTACACGCAGCTTCTAATACTCGTTTTAAAACAGAAGTATAGAGAAACTAAAATCAATTATAATCGGAAATCAACAAATGTTCATTTTTTCCGCTCCTCTAATCGGAGCGATCTTTCGAATGCTGCAGAAATCACTGCAATATCTGGACGGAAACGCTTGCAATCGGCGGCGGATTAATTGCCATTTTGATGAAGGTGGTAGTTTTATTTGGGCCTTAAGTGTGAGTGGGCGGGGTTTCAGCCAAGGGTGCTCTACCAACCCAACCCCCTATACGTTTACAAATATCCATGCCTGAACCCGGATTCGAACCAGGAACCTTCGGCACCGCAGTCGAGCTTCCACACCAATGCGTCACACGGGCCGGCAAAGTTGGGACTTTGAAAGCCAACACGAATTTGGAGCCCTAGGCCATCGATTGATCGCAATGCTGTTTGATATCTACCACATTCCCGTTGAAAAGGGATACCACTCCTTCGATACGATCTCTAAATCAAAATAGAATGGGCCAACAGCACTTTGGAAAGGAATACACAGGTGCGTCAAGTACTTCCATCACATCTTATGGATATTTTATGCCAAGATTTGCTTGAGATGGGGAGGTAGGCCATCGAATCGATCCCGGTGCCACTTTCCAGTCGTTAGAAAAGGTTGTCATGTGGAAGTTTCTAATTCAAAATGAAGTTGCTCAAATACACAGGTGCGTTCTACCTCAATTTTCATATAGGGGTTCTCATCATCACTTTGGTTGCCCTTTTTAGAAATGGGGCAGTGATAAGTTCTTGATGAATTGCAAAGTAAAGTTTTGATGCTGAGTACATTTATTAACAAAGACAATGTACACCTTCAATCACAATTTAAATTACATTCACTTAAAATAGTTATTTATGCAATGAGTGTATAAATGAGGCGTTTTATTGGTGAGTGAGATGTTTAGTCCACGAGCGCTTCAACATTGAGTACGTCGACCACAGAGATGAACTTTTCCATATCTTTAACTGTTAATACACGTACTTTAGTACAGTTGCAAAAGAATTAATTACATTCTAATTTCACATACCTTTTCAAGGTAAAATGTCAACGTGACATTTTCGGAAATATCTCTTTTCAAATTCATTGTATTCCATCAATTGCCGAACTGATCGAAACCGTTCCAATAAGTTTCTTTTGATTTGAGTGGATATAATGTTAAAATCGTCTCCGCAGCAGAGCAAGCAACATAATCTTCCACTGCGATTACGAGGACTGACGGTACAGCGTAAAACAACACATTACTATAGCAACGACAATAGCTGTAATTTAGTGAAAAATCGTCGGAGCTCATAATTCCGTTTGTAATTTCTTGTAGTTGAATTTAAAATTACCTACCCCAGTGAAGTCGACGAAAAAATGTTGTATGCAATTCATGTATAAATCGGCGATTATTGGTTCGTTCAAATTTAGTCCACTCGCTGCGCTCGTGGACTAAACATCTCACTCACCAATAAAACGCCTCATTTATACACTCATTGCATAAATAACTATTTATTGTTCTAACGTCATCTTCGAGGTCATCTTTTTCTCTGTGGAAGTTTACGGCGAAAAGTGCGGTAAGGAAACCATGTCTGGAAAATACAAAGAAGTTGTGAGTCCAGTCAATTTTTTAATACTAAAATACAATAAAAAAAATTGAAAAGTTACAAAAAAATTAAAAATGAATTCAAATGAATTTTTAAGGGATTTCAAAAAAGTTGCAAGTACCGCGACTATTCTTGTCATCGTTTCAACAAGAAAGGACGTCTGGCACCCGCTTGTCCAGTAAAATCATCTTCGCAACATCCACCAGGGTCGTCTCACCGCAAGTCTGAAAGTAAGGTACAGTCGAACTGCATTTTATGGACGAGGAAAATGCTAGTGAGTTTGAAAAAATGTCTTTGTTCGTAATTTAGCAACGCTGTTATACCCTTATATTGTTTACTTAAAAAATTGTAACTGGAGATGGACTTCAGATTGTCAATCCTGTATATTACATAAAAAGTCACCTTCAAAAGCAAAATTATCTCCATGGAACTGGCCAAATTCTCCTTTGGAGAGACTACATGTTGACTTTATGGGACCATTTCTTGGCAAACACTTTTTCTTAATTCTAGACGCTCATAGTAAGTGGATCAAAGTTTTTCCATTGACTACAATTACCAGTAGTTCCACAATTCAGGTACTGTGTACCACGTTTGCAAGATATGCTTTCCTAAACTGTTAGTTTCAGACAACGGTATCCAATTTGAATCTCTCGAATTCAAACAATTTTTAAGTAAAGCAACCGGGCGATGCTCAAAATACCCAATAAACCAGTGTGGATTCAGGGATTAGTTTTAAAGCGCCGTGGTAATTGTACATGCATAGTTAGAGTTCCTGAAATTGATAAAATTTGGAAACGTCATTCCTATGTCAAATTCAGAGACTCCATCTATATATAACCACCCAGGTACCACATGATGTAATTAGTGATATTGACAATGTACCATTAGCATTAAGTAGGGAGAGAAGACAGATCAAACCACCGGGTAGGTTTATGTAATAAATTTAAGGTGGACGAATGTAATGTATTGGGTTTTTCCCAAAATTGATATCGGACTTCGCTGTACAAATTCAGTATGGAATAAACGCTATGTAGAGTAACATGTTTGTTTCCTTCTCTGGCCCCGTTCAAATACAACAAAAGTGTTTCATATAAAGTTAAAAGATACTCAAAAAAGTAAAAAGAAATTTAAAAAAGTTAAAAGAAATTCAAAAAAAAGTGATTCAAAAAAGTTAAAAGAAATCAAAAAAATGTTTTTGAATCACTTTTTTGAATCACTCCTAAATTTTTTGAATCACTTTTTTGAATCACTCCTAAATTTTTTGAATCACTTTTTTGAATCACTCCTAAATTTTTTGAATCACTTTTTGAATCACTCCTAAATTTTTTGAATCACCCTTAAATTTTTTGAATCACTTTTTTGAATCACCCCTAAATTTTTTGAATCACTTTTAAAATCTTTTATAAGCTTCTCTCACTTGATACTTGATACTTGATACTTGATACTTGATACTTGATACTTGATACTTGATACTTGATACTTGATACTTGATACTTGATACTTGATACTTGATACTTGATACTTGATACTTGATACTTGATACTTGATACTTGATACTTGATACTTGATACTTGATACTTGATACTTGATACTTGATACTTGATACTTGATACTTGATACTTGATACTTGATACTTGATACTTGATACTTGATACTTGATACTTGATACTTGATACTTGATACTTGATACTTGATACTTGATACTTGATACTTGATACTTGATACTTGATACTTGATACTTGATACTTGATACTTGATACTTGATACTTGATACTTGATACTTGATACTTGATACTTGATACTTGATACTTGATACTTGATACTTGATACTTGATACTTGATACTTGATACTTGATACTTGATACTTGATACTTGATACTTGATACTTGATACTTGATACTTGATACTTACTTGATACTTGATACTTGATACTTGATACTTGATACTTGATACTTGATACTTGATACTTGATACTTGATACTTGATACTTGATACTTGATACTTGATACTTGATACTTGATACTTGATACTTGATACTTGATACTTGATACTTGATACTTGATACTTGATACTTGATACTTGATACTTGATACTTGATACTTGATACTTGATACTTGATACTTGATACTTGATACTTGATACTTGATACTTGATACTTGATACTTGATACTTGATACTTGATACTTGATACTTGATACTTGATACTTGAGACTTGATACTTGATACTTGATACTTGATACTTGATACTTGATACTTGATACTTGATACTTGATACTTGATACTTGATACTTGATACTTTATACTTGATACTTGATACTTGATACTTGATACTTGATACTTGATACTTGATACTTGATACTTGATACTTGATACTTGATACTTGATACTTGATACTTGATACTAACCACCCGCGGATGTTCGTAGCCATACGCGTTTCCAAGAACTCACGGTCTCATTGTGGATAATCTTTTGCCTTCGTGTAGTGGAACAGGTACATCCAGCGGATCATCTATCGTCGTCGCAACTTTTGTAATTTGGTCCCCAAATTCGTTTCCTATCACAGTTTCTTTTTCTTGATACCTAGGGGGAGAGCTTCTGCATCTACTAGTAAGCTTTTAACTGGGGTCGTTTTGCATGCTCCTAGGCAGATGTGGCGCGCGGAATTCCCAACCGACTGAAGAGTGGTGCACTTCTTTTTCAGTACTTCGATATGTATTTTCCATTGTGAACTTCTGGTCAAAAGTAAGTCCGTGGATTTTAATCGAGTCGATGTCTATTTAAATATAGCTGGAGATTCTTACTCTGGGTTTTTTGGTTCCTGACGATAATCTATTCGGCTGGACAATATGGAAGGTGTGCTCGATATTTCCCATTACCATGAAATCTTGAGATTGTCAACAAAAAGTCGTCCTCGTAGAGATGATTTGAAAATTCTGAGAGCATGGTTGACAGTGAGACACTGAAAACAGATCCCTGGAGTAGCCCATTAATAGAGACTATTGCGGACAAGCTTCCATTGTTTTTCACTCTAATACGTCGGCGGTTGAGGAAATTCGCAACAAAGGCTATGAACAACAGTGACATGATGACGTTGGGGACTTCAGTGGTCCAGATCTTCCTTTCCTAGCCGCCCCCGAAGCGCCTTACCCAGGTTACACGTAAGTGAGACTGGTCGATAGATTGAAGTTTGTGCTCGATCATTATTCGCCTTGTGGATCGGGATTACGATGGCCTCCTTCCGATGATCGGGGAATGCGTGTGGATTCCAACCATGGTTGAATGTTCTCTGTAAATATTCCAGCTAAGAGGATGGATTCTTGATCAATGAATTCGGAATGCCGTCCGAACCTGGACTGGTGTTGCGGCATTTAGGTTTCCCAAAGGTGAACGAATCATTGATAATATCATGCTGAGGTATTGTCTCGTGGTGCTTCGTACTTGGACCAGTTTCGGTGTTAGGGTTATTCCGATGAACGATAAGGTCACTTGAGTTTAAGGCACATGTTTCTGCCAAATCTTTTATTGTAGGCCAATGGAGGAGAGGACGATTTCCGGATGAGGCTCTGACTTTGTTCCACACCGTGGCCGAAGGCGTCATCTCGTTGATTGTTGAAGTAGTTATTCCAGCTGTTCCTTTTACTTTTTTTAACCGTACGACGAGCTACAGCTCCATGTTTTGAAGAGGTTTCTTTATCCTTTTTCAGTGATGTGTATCTGCTAATAAACAATATTAAAAAGTTGTCCGGTTTTTTGTCAAACACACCTAGCAATCCTACTTCCAGGCGAAGACCAAGACTTGCTAGCATTTCCTTCGACCCAAATGGCTTAATACTTGCGTGACCAGTCAGGATCGTGATATACCTATAAAAGAAAAAGGCAATGAAAAAAAGGTAAGCAAGGTGTCAAAAAATCCTCCAACAGATCAATTTTTATTTATAAGTGGGCAGAGTTTTTTAATTCCTCAACACACACGTTTAACAAAAAGTTTCGGAAACGTGGTCTCCAATTATAATTCAGATTTTAAAGGGCCCTTTTTAGGGCCAGGACCTTGCAAACCTTGAAACACATGCAGGTAAGTAAAATTGCATAAAACGTATTGATGTTTTACAATGTATAGGATTGAAAATGTTACCTTGACGTTGGTTGGCCAATGATGTTGATTTTTTCTCACTGACTCGTTGACTTGTAGTTGCTCCTTGTTATCGCTTGTTGTATGGAACCTACCTTTGTTTGCTTTACCTATATAAATACCCGTTATGTATTGTGTGATGCTCAGATAAAGAGCAAACTTTGAATATCCCATAAAGATCAAAATCGATACGCTACCTGAATTATACCTTTAAATTAGAAAATACTGTCAAATGCAGTCTGATTTCCTTATGTTGCAAACGTTATAAGTTACAATTTAAACAATTTCATGTAATTTTCGAGCGTGACTGAAAAATCCTAGTCACATTGTATTGGACCAAAACAAATATGCAAAACATTTTCTCATTTAAAATTCATTACATTATTGTAAATTCTAATTCTTTTGTCAACTACAATACAGTAGAAACTCCGTTAACCGAAACAAAGCGGACTGGGGATGTTTCGGATAACCAATATTTCGGATAAGCGAAATAGGCATAAGAAATGTAGAAATATGCTTATATTGTGCAACATGGAAGTGCGAGCCAACAAATTAAAGTATCTCCTCCTTGAAGTAACCGACGGAGCCCGAGATGATAGGAATGTTGGTTGCTTATACTGCAAAGTTTATCTATTGGGCAATCATTACTTTTGTCAATTACTGTACATACAGTAAAATATAATCGTTACTTTTTTTAGAAGTCAATACTGTTAATTGAAATCCTTTGAAAAAATCTTCAATTTTCCTTTGTTTACTACAGTTTCAGTTAATGGAGTTTCTGCTGTAAAGATAAAATAAAAAGGGAAAGTACTGTCTACTTGGTTTGAGCTCGTACACAATTTGAATCAAATGTTCGACTGGCGTTGAAAATTGATTCTATTCCTTGTTCAATTGTTGCTGTGTATGGAAAAGCACTTTTGGAACTATATTTAACACTTTTTCCATTAAATATAAATAATTAGACTATATAAAAATGAACGTTTGGTATTACAAATGTTTGTATACATGGTAATTCAAAAATATATATTCAGGTAAGTACCATATTAACGTTCCTATCAAAAAACGTCTTCTCAGTTTCATGTACTCCTTAAAACTCTATTGGTAGATCTTTGAATATATCGAAACAGTGGCGTAATCAAATGAGGATTGTGCCCAATTGCCCATTTTTGAGTATTGTTATCACAAGACAGTCGCATTAATGTTAAAATTTAAGTCGACGATTTGGCCCCAAATATCAATTTAGAAACTAATTTCGATCTGCACCCGAATTTTTGTTCAAAAAGAGACATAGAGGCTGAAATGCTACGAAGCCTGGAAAGCAATATTTCAAGATGTCACGAAATGTAAAAAAACTTCCGAGTTGTAACTCAAATTTCAATTTTACTGATAATGTTAATTAATCAGTAATCATGCAAGTTGAAAATTTTAAGTTCAAGTAAAAAGTTTCAGTGTTGGGATTGAAATTTCGACAATTAAAAAACTATTTCGCGTCGAGGGACAAATCAAAAACGTGATTGGAGTGTCTCTAGCTGCGTTTGTTTCCGAGATACAGCGTGAAAACAAAAAGTTTGACTTTCTGAGATGTTAGGTACTATTCATAATATTATCTTACTTTACCATGTAAAATAGAAAAACTGCTCACTTTAGATATTTTTACGTAGAATCCAGTGGCGTAGTCAAAAAATGTTGGACCACCTTTTCTGAGATTTAACCCAAAGTTTGTATTTTTTAATGCAACACCCTTAATAATCTTAACGTCGATTTTTTAAATTATTTTGCGAGAAAGTTAAATCTTTATTTATCTTAATTTGTTCAGATAGAAAACAAAAACAAACGAAAATATTACTGTTTATTTCTAGGTTGAGTGGTAGAGTAGAGTTGGGTTTTTGCGTTTGGGTTGAGTACGAGTGGGTTGTGATAACGTGCTGTGTTTCTGAGAAGAAAGAGTAATGTGTTTTTTAACTGTGCTAGGGCGTGTAACTTTATTGGGTGGACCTGTCTTTGTAGTGCACGTTGCGTTACTTGTATTTATTGCGTTTGTTTGTTCGGTAAGTTGTGTTTATTTATTTTTCTTTTTTATCTGAACAAATTAAGATAAGTCGGTTATATATATAATTAAATAAAGATTTTTCTAATTTGCTCGAAAACGAATCAATCGATTTTAAAAAATCAAACGTCAAAACAAAAGACCTTTCAAACTAGCTACTACTGGATACCACTTGTCATTTAAAATTCTTAAGGAAATGACCCTGGGGGGCAGAGGGGGGGGAGTTAAAAAGTTATCCCCTATGACATTTCTTTTGACGTGTCGAGACGGTGTTTCCTTTAATCAGTGGTTTTAGATAAATCCGTGGTATCATATTTTACAAAAATTTGAAATGACATGCCATTTTTATTGTATGGTATCATCTACAATAAACAAAACAAAATGTCCATGAACCCATGGTGTACTATTCAGTACAGTAAAAAACAACAAGGTTTTTGTGGCTAAAAATTAAAAATATATCAGTTGGACAGTTTGTACCTTTTTGTATATTTTCCTCAAAAGCAAATCTAACATCAGTTTCAAAATTTGATTTTGCGCATGCGCACTGCCAACTTTCTTTACCAAAGCATTTAAATTAAATTGTTTTATATTATACGCTCCGCCATTAGGTAGTATCCAAACTGTGAGAAAAGTAAGTACCTATTTGAAAACTGGATATTATACATAGTAAAATCAGTTATTTTACAATTGACAGTGTATTTGTTGATACCATTAATTTAACTAAGTATATGAAAAACTGTGTTTGCATAATTACTTTTTAATTTCTATTTTATTTTTTATATATTATACTTGTATATTTATTCAAATTATTATAAACTTTTCGTTTTCACTGTGTACCTTAGAAACAAACGGAAGTAGATAGATTCTGGTTCACAAAAAAGGGGCACAGAGTCCCGAAAATCGCAATTCTCTATCTTTAAAAATAGCTGAGATACATACAGTCTCAACTAAAATAGGGCACACAGTACCTGCACCCCATGTTTACACCACTGCATCGAAAAATATACGAACAAATCTACAAACCACTATATACGAGGGTCGTTTGATAAATCTCCTGTTTAGTAATGAATAACATTGATACAGAACCAAAATTTTTATTTTGTTTACCTTTTCTCCACCCCGCGATCCGCAAACTGACGCCATCACCTTACCCTCTTAAGGCACTGCTGTGACTGTTGCTGTGTTTCTGGAGTATATATGCGTGGCTCCAGGTTTGGTCCATATAGTTACAACGACGCTCGAGTCCAAATGATCCCACATGATTGATAACAAATGCAGTTTTAACCTGTCGCCACTAAATAGCGCTTTTATCATTTGCACATTACGAAACAGGAGACTTATGACCCTAAGAAAGTGGTTCTCAACCGGCGCGGGAGGGGGGGGGTTATTTACGGGGAGAAATTAAAGACAATATTTATTTAATACAATCACAAACCAGCCATTGATGTAGAGGTTTCTATTATGTATACCTAAAAAAATTATACTTCATTGGGGCAGTAGCATAATACTCAACCTAACTAAAGCGGCGCAGTGTTGAGAACCACTGTTCTAAGGCAAACAACTCTCTACTAATCTCTTTGGATCTAAACTTACAGAATTACACAAAGTAAAACAGTGTAGTTTGACGTCTTTCCCTTAAGATGGAAAGTGTTTTTATTTGCCTTCATAGGCATCGGTTGTGATTGGCATGCGTTACTTCGAATATTTAATTTCTTATATTACTCACTTCTTTGAGTGAAAGGGACCAGTAGACATGTAGACAAACGGCATTTTATGAAAAATTCGAACGGCTTGACGAATACTATCAATTCCACTTGTAGTACCGCTACCATAAGGAGGCACCGTTGAAGTTTCCAAATTTTGCATTACTGACCAATTATTATTATTACCTATTATGGTCGATGTTTCTTGTGAGAACTCAGGTCTAGCCTGGTTAACTAATCGCACGGATAAACGGTTAGTGTGCGTCTGTACGTCGTTCGTCTATTATTATTACTATTATTATGACACTGATGACACAGGTAAACGAATTATTAAATAAAGTTGGTAACGGGGCTTAACAAAGGCTTGGTGGATGATCATAATTTTTTGAAGTGTATTCGGTACCCAATAACCTGGATAAATACGATCAAGTGATAAAGGTCACTTATCATATCAATATCTTCAAAGTGACCTGTCATTGGAAAGACATTCGATCATGGGCGATCGTTACTCACTATGTTACAGTGTGTAGCATCTAAAACCTCTCGCATCATAGTTTCTTGTTCTGAGACTACTTTAGAAACAACTACTTTCGTCTCTAAAAAGGGTGAAGAAAATGTGATTTTTCTCTCTAGTGAGGAAAGTAAAAAACAATTGCTGCGTTAATCTTAATAATGACATTTAAAAATGAAACATGCCCGTATCTAGATTGCTATGAATCAAACTTCATTAGTGCATACGATAATTTTTCAATTTTGATTTTAGTTTCTGAAAAAATGATTGGGAAAAATTGATAAAGGTGTTTTTCAGCTCTCAAGTTCAAAAACTGTCTTCTCTAGTTGTACAAATTATTACCATAAGGGGTAAAGAAAGAAGTTTTAGAGAAAAATTGTACCCAATTACCGTGGACATATTTCATTTTTGATCACCAGGGGAGTGCTGTAGTCTAGTGGTGTACAAACTTACATTTTTAGCGCATTTTTGAAAAAAAAAACGCTATTATATTCGTTATGCCTGGCTGGCTGGCTGTCCGGCTGAGATCTCAGCAATTACAATTGCTAGAGGCTTTAAATTTTCACTAAAAGCTTTCTGTTATAGTGTAGATGTGCATTTACCAAAAATGCGCTTTCATCATGCATATGCTGATTTACACTTTACAGCACCCCATACCTCTTCCACTGTCATTTTTTTTTTTTTTAACTTCAAATGGCATACCCCTGAACAAATTATAGCTCTGGATAGCCGAAACTACAAAATTGCCACTGATACTAATATATTCACGCATTCCACAAGAAAATCTCGGAGAAAAACCAAACCGAAATGCCAATTTAAAAAAAAACGTTCTGTTCTGAACCAAAGTCTGTCATGATGAAGCGATCAACGCGCGTTTCAAAAACATGTGGGGTGTTTGAATTGAATGAATCGAGGTTCCATAAAAATGGCACAGTTAATTACCACAACTTCCATTATTACGCCGATGAAAACTCGCATGCCATAAGAATTGCACATCACCAACAAAGATGGTCAATAAATGTTTGGGGTGGCATACTGGAATAGCACATTCTGGGTTCTTTAGACGGTAACCGCTATTTAGGGTTCCTTCGTGACGACTTAGCCTGAAAAATATACCTGTAGCCGCTCGACGACAAATCGAACAAGATGGAGGTCCTGCACATTACAGCCTTGTCCTTTCTTTGATATTTTCTTATGGAATGTGTGGTTTTGTTTGTATCAGTGGAAATTTTGTAGTTTCGGCTGTCTTGAGCTATAATTTGTTTAAGGGGTGCCATTTGCAATTTAAAAAATACGCCATTTGGCGAAGATCTCAAACAAATTCGAAAAACTGTCAAATTTTGAGAAAAAAGGTTACAACAGCGAAATCGTTAAAGTTCGGGATACCTATAATTATGTTATATACTCGTAAACAATAAGTATTTTTCAAGTGCCTACTTTCCAAATGTGCAATAAAATATGGGGTGTTGCCACTGGAATACAGCAGAGATCAAACATAGTTTAGAAACATGGCGACGGTAACTGGGTACAATTTTGCTCTAAGACTTTTTTTCTGTATCTTTTATGGCAACGGAATTATAATCCGAGGGGGATGCTACACCCTGTATAAATAACCCACGGATTTAATACTAAAAACATATTGCATAATAGCGTTAAGGTTACTCTGAAGACAAGTGAGGTTAAAAAAATGAATCGCTATAGCTCTACAGCAGCAATAGCATCTAGAGGGATATTATATTATGATTACTTCAAATTTTAACCTCCTAAATTGTTTCTGGAGCAAAATAATCGTGAAACTATCTTTACCGTGAAATTATCTTTCACCTAAAATTGATGGGTCCAAGCATTTTTCAAATCCTTAAACTAATTGAAAATAGCTGTACTACGCAACTTTTTATAGGAAACCGTACTTATTTTCAAAACTGAAAACTGTAAAGATCAGGCTAACATTCTTCGGCAGCCCCCGAGAATTTCTCATCTTATTTATCAAGATCCAGTTTAAACAAAAAAAAAGTTTCTTAAAGATAACCGCGAGTGGTTTTGTGTCTTTAACAAACTTTGTACGACCAGATTATTTGGATCAGTAAAGACAAAAAACTGTAAATAATTTAAGATTTTTTAAAATTTTGAATTATGAACCGTCTGCGAGGTATTATGTCCAAATAAGCTTTACAAGGTTTTCTTTCTTTCAGACTCTGTATTAATTTTTTTATGTGTTTCGGAATAAATTTTTGTCATCGTCAAACTTGTGTTATTATTCGAATCCTTTGTGCGATCCAGTTTCAACGGAGAAATCGGTAGCAATAAGTACGCGAAAATAAGTAAACACCTACCAGTTGTTCAAGAATGCTTGTCAATGATCCACTTGTGCCATTCCTCAAGGTAATGACGTACATACTTGGAAAATCCATCCATAAGAACGGTGGAACAGATACGATATGGTGATGCACTTTATTCCTCTCGTCTGAAAAAGAATAGATAAGTTAAAAACTGCGTAGGTACCTACTTAAGAAGAAGACTGTTTTATATCATAAAACTTATCATTTATTGTATCTAGAACACTGTTAAGGATTTTAAACAAAAGCGAAAAGCGGACTGTAATTTTGATTAATATTTTAAAAATAATAAAAAAAAAGAAAAGTGACTTACCCCAAATATTCTGTCTTTGATGGTATATAGTCTATACACCAATAAAGGATTGGAAACAAAGGATTGTGCAAAATTAGCGTATAACAATAATGATTAAAAACAAAACTGACTATGCGACTGGCGTGTGAAGCGTTAAACGAATATATTCAAAGTGATTTTAAACCTGCACTATACGCTGCATCTATAGATAATAAATAGGCAAAGCGATAAAGTAAACTTAAATTTTATTTCGGCTGGTTTAGTTTTGCACGATTCTGGACGAAAGTTTGATCACGAGCGCAATAAATTCATGTCCCGCATATAAAATTTTGCCGAAATATCTGAGAAATATGTAGGAACTGAACGAAATTAGAGGAAATTTTCGGGAAATTTTGAGAAAAGCGGAGGAAATTTCAAAGGAATGAGGAAATTTTAAGGACATATTAAGAAATATTGAGGAAATCTAGATGAAAGTCAGAGAAAATCTAGAGAAAATTTTAAGGAAATAAAAGGTTTCTATAGGGAAGTAATGTTAGTACTTATTTCACGTTAATTCAGATAAATTTAGTGTAAATTTAGGGAAATTTCAGACAATGTTAGAAATGCGGGAAATTAAGGAAAACGGTAGCAATTGTTAGGCAATGAAGGAAACCATAAATAAGTCGTGACCAACCCCTAGATTCTGAATGATCATGGACAACGCTCAAATTAAAAACGAATGGGATACTGTTAGTTAACAAACTGAATTTAAATATATGGGATGTTAGTTTTTCGAAAATAACATACATGGAGAAAATTCATTGGAGGATTAATTAATACAAGCATTGATAAATACAATGATACAAGTTAAAATGCAAACACGTACCTACCCCCCTACCCGTACAACAGCAGGACCAACATGCCTCGAAGACGGTCGAATAGTTTGTGTGTATTATAGGAAAGTAATAAATGAATGCAAGGTTAACACCTTTGCGTGTTAGATAAGAGCAATTGGGTGGTTTTAAAAGGCAAGTTATTTGATAAGCGAAAACGTGATGTCATTTAGGATGCGTAATTTAGGGTCATTGATTTCTCTCATTTCGAAGATCATACGTTTAACGAATTTGTTGTAAATAATACTGTTTCTAAAATAGGGAACGAGCAAATTTTTATAATGAAAATGGGCAAGTTTACGGCGAATTTGACTAAACGTTGAGGACAAGCTAATTTAAATAGATTTTCACGTTCTAGAGGGGTATCATTAGTACGGATAAGATTGTGGTTATAAAGAAAGGAACTATTTAAGTTAAACTGTTTGTAAAGATTTGGGGGTCAGTTTGAGTTTAGGGTACAGAAGCGAAACGAAGAAAGATTAATAAGAGTTAGACAATGGTAGAGACGGATTCTGGGAGGCAATGATAACATTGAACTTCAACTATACGTTATGATATCCAATGACAAATTTGAAACTTATGGGATTAACAAAAAGTCTACAGCAAGGATATTTAAATTTTCAGGGGTGGAAGGAATTGCAATGAATGATGCTGTGGTAAAGGGTTTTGTAAATGTCCTTTATTTACAGTAAAATTACCTAATTGTAATTATTAAAAACCACTAAATTGTTTATAAGTGGTACCCTTGAAGATAAAGAAAATGTGCTTCAAGCATAAGTTTAAGGCGAGTATCAGCGTAATGAAATAAATTTTTGGCAATTTAGCGTCAATAGAGGAAGAGAATGTAGCAAAAAAGATTGTCTGTATGGAAGGTTAAATTGTGTTAATGGAATACATGGAATGGGGTTTGATGTAATTTGTAGTAGTTCAGGAGATTTTTAAACAGGGCCTTGCAAAAGAAAACAGTTAGTCCTCAATCGGAAACCGTGATACAGTCGGTTAAATTATAAAGACGTTGAGTATTTTAGGGCTTAGTAAAATGGTGTTTTAAATACTCGATGGTGCCCACAGATTTTTATTACGACATTTCGTTTTTGAGAAACCATCATCAATATTGTTATATGGACCGGAAAAAAGTAACACCCTGTAATTAAGAGCATTTTCGATTAGCTTTATATCGATGTAACGCACATTATAGTTTCCAAACATTTTGCCCAGAACAAAACTCGCTTCTCAAGAGTGTAAATAAATAACTGAAAGACAAGGCAGTCATTAAAAAAATCCTCAAGACCTCTGAAAGTTTTTCTATTGCTTTTAGGTGCCACTTGATAACAAACAAAAACCTTAGAGGATTTTGACTTTTAGCATTAGAAATACACCAAATCTTCTTGTAGGTAGAGGGTTGTTTTTCTTGGAAACTCCTAAATGCTTCTAAAACTTGTTTCATTTATTCATTTGTACTCGTATATTTAAACTGATAGACTTCTTTGTCTTACTAAGTTTCTTAGAGAAAATTTTTTTATATAAATTTTGAGTTTGTTCGTTCATGTGTTTCTCTAATAAGGCTTATAATAAAAGAGAACGATGAAAAGTTAAAACTGAAAGATGTTTTGCGGAGGATGGATTTCAGTCATGGACAGCCTATCAAAATAAGTTTAAAATGAATCCCTGATTTAGTTTCGCTAATTAAATTAAGGGTTTACTTTTTACTTTTATTTCGCCGAATGAAAGAAGCTGGCACCAATAATTTGGGAAACTTCAAAATCTGAGAATGGATGAAAGTTTCAACTCTGGTTTACTGCATATTATTAAATTTTTATCCTTGAGCTTAGTATTTGTGGAGATCCCCCACAAAGTTCCTGTACGTCATGATAAGTCCAGACTTTCGACAATTAAGTTATAATTTTAAAAGTATGGGAGGCCCCACGCAGCCCCCTAACCAGAAGAGAAAGGTCATCTATAGTTTTACAGTTTTTCGCAAATCGTTCAAATAGTTCCGCGAAAAAATTAATTCAAAACACCTCTCCTAAGTGTTTTGAAATGGAAGTTTCCTTATACGGAATACACCAAAAGTCCCGGAACGCTTAATTATCTCCGCTATGTGCAAATCAGTCTTTGTCAAATTTGATATGCGTATGCTACATAGAACAAAGAATGTCATTTTTTATTAAGTAACTACTTCTGGTTTAATGGGAACTTTCACCTACTGATTTTTTAATAGAAGATCCTGTATATATTTTTTTATTACACAATAAACTGATCTGTGTAGCTAATATTTCTTATGAACGTGTCCATTCACATAAAATCTTAAATATCCATTTTAATTATTTGTCATTTGACACCCTGTATCAGTGGCCGATTTACCAGCAGGCTAAGTAGCATGGAGCCTAGGGCAGCAGATTTACGGGGCGGCAAATTTGGCCAAAAAGTTTTTGTCTTACAGAAATTTAAAAAAAAAATCATTATGCAGGGTGAGGTTTTTTAATTTTCACTATGGGAATCTCGTAAACCGTAAGAGATACAAAGTTAGTAGCTCTACAGCAGCAATAGAATCTAGAGGGATATTGTATTATATTATTTATTAAACTTTTAACCTCCTACATTGTTTCTGGAGTAAAATAATCGTGAAACTAACTTTACCGTGAAATTATCTTTCACCTAAAATTGATGGGTCCAAGCATTTTTCAAATATTTACCTTAAACTAATTGAAAATAGCTGTACTACGCAACTTTTTATAGGAAACCGTACTTATTTTCAAAACTGAAAATTGTAAAGATCAGGCTAATATTCTTCGGCAGCCCCCGAAAATTTCTCATCTTATTTATCCAGATCCAGTTTAATAAAAAAAAAGTTTCCGAAGATATCAGCGAGTGGTTTTGTGTCTTTAATAAACCTTGTACGACCAGATTATTTGGATCACTAAAGAAAAAAAACTAAGTAATTTAAGATTTTTTAAAATTTTGAATTATGAACCGCCTGCTTGCGGAGTATTATGTCCAAATGAGCTTTGCAAGGTAGCCTTTCTTTCAGAGACTTTGTATTAATTTTATGTGTTTCGGAATAAATTTTTGTCATCGTCAAAATTGTGTTATTATTCGAATCCTTTGTGCGATCTAGATTTATTTCAGGTGTTAATCAAAAGCTGTATAATAAACTCTTTGGAATGTTTGGGAAGTTGAGAATAGGCGATTTGGGAAGTCAATATTAGGATTTTTCTTCTGTCAGATCCAGGATGTAAGTATACGAGGAGAGATTATAAATTTCTAAGTTTCTACAGACAGAGAAAACGGTAGCAATAAGTAAGCAAAAGTAAGTAAACACCTACCAGTTGTTCAAGAATGCATGTCAATGATCCACGTGTGCCATTCCTCAAGGTAATGACGTACATACTTGGAAAATGTTCCATCCATGATAACGGTGGAATAGATACGATATGGTGATGCACTTTACTCCTCCCGTCTGAAAAAGAATAGGTAGGTTAAGAACTGAGTAGGTACCCCTACTTGAGAAGAAGACTGTTTTATATCATAAAACTTATTTATTGTAACTAGAACACTTTAAAACAATTTCGGCTGGTTTAGTTTTGCACGATTCTGGACGAAAGTTTGATCACGAGCGCAATAATTCTTGTCCCTCATATAGAAAATTTTGAGAAAATATCTGGGAAATATGTAGGAACTGAACAAAATTAGAGGAAATTTTCGGGAAATTTTGAGAAAATAGGAGGAAATTTCAAAGGAAATTTTAGGGAATTATTAACAAATATTGAGGAAATCTAAAGGAAAGTCTGAGAAAATCTAGAGAAAATTTTAAGGAAATAAAAGGTTTCTATAGGGAAGTAATGTTACTTATTTCACGTTAATTCAGAGAAATTTAGTGTAAATTTAGGGAAATTTCAGACAATGCTAGAAATGCGGGAAATTAAGGAAAACGGTGGCAATTGTCAGGCAATGAAGGAAACCATAAATAAGTCGTGACCAACCCCTAGATTCTGAATAATAATGAACAACGCTCAAATTAAAAACGAATGGGATACTGTTAGTTAAAAAACTGAATTTAAATATATGGGATTTTAGTTTTTCGAAAATAACATACGTCGGAGAAAATTCATTAGAGGATTAATTAATACAAGCATTGATAAATACAATGATACAAGTTAAAATGCAAACACGTACCCGTACAAAAGCAGGACCAACATGCCTCGAAGACGGTCGAATAGTTTGTGTGTATTATAGGAAAGTAATAAATGAATGCAAGGTTAACACCTTTGCGTGTTAGATAAGAGCAATTGGGTGGTTTTAAAAGGCAAGTTATTTGATAAGCGAAAATGTGATGTCATTTAGGATGCGTAATTTAGGGTCATTGATTTCTCTCATTTCGAAGATCATACGTTTAACGAATTTGTTGTAAATAATACTGTTTCTAAAATAGGGATCGAGAAAATTTTTATAATGAAAATGGCAAAGTTTACGGCGAATTTGACTAAACATTAAGGACAAGCTTAAAATAGATTTGAACGTTCTAAGGGATATCTTTAGTACGGATAAGATTGTGGTTATAAGGAAAGGAACTATTTAAGTTAAACTATTTGTAAAGATTTGGGGGTCAGTTTGAGTTTAGGGTACAGAAGCGAAACGAAGAAAGATAAAAGAGTTATTACGACATTTCGTTTTTGAGAAACAATGATCAACTTCATATTTTTATATGAATTTGTCTTACTAAGTTTCCTGGAGAAAATTTTTTTATATAAATTGTTAGTTTGTCCGGTCATGTGTTTCTCTAATAAGGCCTCTAATAAGGCTTATAATAAAAGAGAACGATGAAAAGTGTGAAAGATGTTTTGCAGAGGATGGATTTCAGTCATGGACAGCCTATCAAAATAAGTTTAAAATGAATCCCTGATTTAGTTTCTCTAATTAAATTAAGGATTTACTTTTTACTTATATTTCGCCGAATGAAAGAATCTGGCAGCAATAAATTTGGGAAACTTCAAAATCTGAGAATGGATGAAAGTTTGAACTCTGGTTTACTACACATTAAATTCTTATTCTTGAGCTGAGTACTTGTGGAGATCCCCCACAAAGTGCCTGTACGTCATGGTAAGCCTAGACTTTCGACAATTAAGTTATTATTCGTTAATAAGGCCGCACGCAGCCCCCTAACCAGAAGAGAAAGGTAATCTATATACAGTTTTTCGCAAATCGTTCAAATATTTCTGCGAAAAAATTAATTCAAAACACCTCTCCTAAATGTTTTGAAATGGAAGTTTCCTTATACGGGGTACACCAAAAGTCCCGGAACGCTTAATTATCTCCGCTATCTGCAAATCAATCTTTGTCGAATTTGATATGCGTATGCTACATAGAACAAAGAATGTCATTTTTTATTAAGTACCTACTTCTGGTTTAATGGGAACTTTCACCTACTGATTTTTTAATAGAAGATCCTGTATATATTTTTATGTCTTACTAACCTAAACTGATATCTATACTCTCGGGCGACTAAAAAGCTCTCGGGCCATAGGCCCTCGAGCTTTTTAACTCGTCGCCCTCGAGAATATAAACATCACTATTATGCCCTTAATACGAGTACATAAATAACTATTTTAATACACAATAAACTGATCTGTGTAGCTAATTTTTCGTATGAACGTGTCCATTCACATAAAATCTTAAACATCCATTTTAATTATTTGTCATTTGACACCCTGTATCAGTGACCGATTTACCAGCAGGCTAAATAGCAAGGAGCCTAGGGCAGCAGATTTACGGGGCGGCAAATTTGGCCAAACAGTTTTTGTCTTACAGAAATTAAAAAAAAAGCATTATGCAGGGTGAGGTTTTTTAATTTTCACTAAGGGAATCTCGTAAAACTAAGAGATACAAAGTTAGTAGCTCTACAGCTGCAATAGAATCTAGATGGATATTGTATTTATTAACATTTTAACCTCCTACATTGTTTCTGGAGTAAAATAATCGTGAAACTAACTTTACCGTGAAATTATCTTTCACCTAAAATTGATGGGTCCAAGCATTTTTCAAATCCTTAAACTAATTGAAAATAGCTGTACTACGCAACTTTTTATAGGAAACAGGACTTATTTTCAAAACTGAAAATTGTAAATTCTTTGGAATGTTTGGGAAGTTGAGATTAGGCGATTTGTGAAGTTAATATTAGGATTTTTCTTCTGTCAGATCCAGGATGTATACGAGGAGAGATTATAAAATTCTAAGTTTCAACAGACGGAGAAAACAGTAGCAATAAGTAAGCAAAAATAAGTAAACACCTACCAGTTATTCAACAATGCATATCAATGATCCACGTGTGCCATTCCTCAAGGTAATACTGGAAAATGTTCCATCCATGATAACGGTGGAACAGATACGATATGGTGATGCACTTTATTCCTCCCGTCTGAAAAGCAATAGATAGGTTAATAACTGAGTAGGTACCTACTTGAGAAGAAGACAAGTTTTATATCATAAAATTGATCATTTATTGTACCTAGAACACTTTAAAACAATTTCGGTCGGTATAGTTTTGCACGATTTTGGACGAAAGTTTGATCACGAGCGCAATAATTCTTGTCCCTCATATAGAAAATTTTGAGAAAATATCTGGGAAGTATGTAGAAACTGAACGAAATTAGAGGAAATTTTCGGGAAATGTTGAGAAAATAGGAGGAAATTTCAAAGGAATGAGGAAATTTTAGGGAAGTATAAAGAAATATTGAGGAAATCTAGAGGAAAGTCTGAGAAAATTAGAGTAGTAGTAAGAGTAAATCTAGAGAAAATTTTAAGGAAATAAAAGGTTTCTATAGGGAAGTAATGTTAGTACTTATTTCACGTTAATTCAGATAAATTTAGTGTAAATTTAGGGAAATTTAAGACAATGCTAGAAATGCGGACAATTAAGGAAAATGGTGGCAATTGTTAGGCAATGAAGGAAATCATAAATAAGTCGTGACCAACCCCTAGATTCTGAATGATCATGAACAACGCTCAAATTAAAAACGAATGGGATACTGTTAGTTAACAAACTGAATTTAAATATATGGGATTTTAGTTTTTCGAAAATAACATACGTACTTACAAGGAGAAAATTCATTGGAGGATTAATTAATACAAGCATTGATAACTACAATGATACAAGTTAAAATGCAAACACGTACCCGTACAAAAGCAGGACCAACATGCCTCGAAGACGGTCGAATAGTTTGTGTGTATTATAGGAAAGTAAAGTAATAAATGAATGCAAGGTTAACACCTTTGCGTGTTAGATAAGAGCAATTGGGTGGTTTTAAAAGGCAAGTTATTTGATAAGCGAAAACGTGATTTCATTTAGGATGCGTAATTTAGGGTCATTGATTTCTCTCATTTCGAAGATCATACGTTTAACGAATTTGTTGTAAATAGTCTAAAATTATAAAACTTTCTAAAACATGGAAACGAGAAAATTTTATTAATGAAAATGGAAAAAGTTTACGGCGAATTTGACTAAACATTGATGACAAGCTAATTTAAATTGATTTGCACGTTCTAGAGGGGTATCTTTAGTACGGATAAGATTGTGGTTATAAGGAAAGGAACGATTTAAGTTAAACTGTTTGTAATGATTTGGGGGTCAGTTTGAGTTTAGGGTACAGAAGCGAAACGAAGAAAGATTAATAAGAGTTAGACAATGGTAGAGACGGATTCTGAGAGGCAATGATTAATTGAACTTCAACTATACCTACGTTATGATATCCAATGACAAATTTGAAACTTATGGGATTAACAAAAAGTCTACAGCAAGGAAATTTAAATTTTCAGGGATGGAAGGAATTGTGATGAATGTTGCTGTGGTAAAGGGTTTTGTAAATGTCCTTTATGTACAGTACAATTAAATGTAATTATTAAAAAACACTAAATTGTTTATAAGTGGTACCCTTGAAGATAAAGAAAATGTGCTTCAAGCATAAGTTTAAGGCGGGTATCGGCGTAATGAAATAATTTTTTGGCAATTTGGCGTCAATAGAAGAAGAGAATGTAACAAAAAAGATTGTCTGTATGGAAGGTTAAATTGTGTTAATGGAATACATGGAATGGGGTTTGATGTAATTTTTAGTAGTTCAGGAGATTTTTAAACAGGGTCTTGCAAAAGAAAACAGTTAGTCCTCAATCGGAAACCGTGATACAGTAGGTTAAATTATAAAGACGTTGAGTATTTTAGGGCTTAGTAAAATGATGTTTTAAATACTCGATGGTGCCCACAGATTTTTATTGCGTTTCGTTTTTAAGAAACCATAATCAATATTTTTATATGGACCGGAAAAAAGTAACACCCTGTAATTAATAGCATTTTCGATTAGCTTTATATCGATGTAACGCGCATTATTGTTTCTAAACGTTTTGCCCAGAAAAAAACTCGCTTCTCAAGAGTGTAAATAAATAACTGAATGAAAGAAAAGGCATTCATTAAAAAAATCCTCAAGAGCTCTGAAAGTTTTTCTAATACTTTTAGGTGCCACTTGATAACAAAGAAAAACTATATAGAGGATTTTGAGTTTTGGCATTAGAAACACACCAAATCTTCTTGTAGAAGGTTGTTTTTCTTGGAAACCCCTAAATGCTTTTAAAACTTCTTTTATTATTTATTTATAAATTTAAATTGATAGGCTTCTTTGTGTTACTAAGTTTCTTGAAGAAAATTTGTTTATATAAATTTAGAGTTTAGTAAGTCATGTGTTTCTCCATAAGGCTTTAAAGTGCCCTTATAATAAAACAGAACAATGAAAAGTTAAAACTGAAAGATGTTTTGCAGAGGATGGATTTCAGTCATGGACAGCCTATCAAAATAAGTTTAAAATGAATCCCTGATTTAGTTTCGCTAATTAAATTAAGGGTTTACTTTTTACTTTTATTTCGCCGAATGAAAGAAGCTGGCACCAATAATTTGGGAAACTTCAAAATCTGAGAATGGATGAAAGTTTCAACTCTGGTTTACTGCATATTATTAAATTTTTATCCTTGAGCTTAGTATTTGTGGAGATCCCCCACAAAGTTCCTGTATGTACGTCTCGATAAGTCCAGACTTTCGACAATTAAGTTATAATTTTAAAAGTATGGGAGGCCGCACGCAGCCCCCTCTAACCAGAAGAGAAAGGTCATCTACAGTTTTACAGTTTTTCGCAAATACGAGGAGAGATTATAAAATTCTAAGTTTCAACAGATGGAGAAAACGGTAGCAATAAATGAGCAAAAATAAGTAAACACCTACCAGTTGTTCAAGAATGGATGTCAATGATCCACTTGTGCCATTCCTCAAGGAAATGATGTACATACTTGGAAAATCCATCCATAATAACGGTGGAACAGATACGTCTGAAAAAGAATAGATTGGTTAATAACTGAGTAGGTACCTACTTGAGAAGAAGACTGTTTTATATCATAAAACTTATCATTTATTGTATCTAGAACACATTAAAATAATTTCGGCTGGATTAGTTTTGCACGATTCTGGACGAAAGTTTGATCACGAGCGCAATTCCTGTCCCTCATATAGGAAATTTTGAGGAAATATCTGAGAAATATGTAGGAACTGAAGGAAATTAGAGGAAATTTTCGGGAAATGTTGAGAAACTAGGAGGAAATTTCAAAGGAATGAGGAAATTTTAGGGAAATATTAAGAAATATTGAGGAAATCTAGAGGAAAGTCTGAGAAAATCTAGAGAAAATTTTAAGGAGATAAAAGATGTCTATAGGGAAGTAATGTTACTTATTTCACGTTAATTCAGAGAAATTTAGTGTAAATTTAAGGAAATTTAAGACAATGCTAAAAGTGCGGGAAATTAAGGTAAACGGTGGCAATTGACCCCTAGATTCTGAATGATCATGAACAACGCTCAAATTAAAAACGAATGGGATACTGTTAGTTAACAAACTGAATTTAAATATATGGGATTTTAGTTTTTCGAAAATAACTTACGTACTTACAAGGAGAAAATTCATTGGAGGATTAATTAATACAAGCATTGATAACTACAATGATACAAGTTTATTTAGGGAAATTTAAGACAATGCCAGAAATGCGGGAAATTAAGGAAACGGTGGCAATTGTTAGGCAATGAAGGAAATCATAAGTAAGTCGTGACCAACCCCTATAGATTCTGAATGATAATGAACAACGCTCAAATTAAAAACGAAATGGGACACTACTTAACAAACTGAATCTAAATATATGGGATTTTAGTTTTTCGAAAATAACATACGTACTTACATGGAGAAAATTCATTGGAGGATTAATTAATACTAGGATTATAAATAAATACAATGATACAAGTTAAAATGCAAACACGTACCCGTACAAAAGCAGGACCAACATGCCTCGAAGACGGTCGAATAGTTTGTGTGTATTATAGGAAAGTAATAAATGAATGCAAGGTTAACACCTTTGCATGTTAGATAAGAGCAATTGGGTGATTTTAAAAGGCAAGTTATTTGATAAGCGAAAACGTGATTTCATTTAGGATGCGTAATTTAGGGTCATTGATTTCTCTCATTTCGAAGATCATACGTTTAACGAATTTGTTGTAAATAGTCTAAAATTATAAAACTTTCTAAAACATGGAAACGAGAAAATTTTTTTAATGAAAATGGGAAAGTTTGCGGCGAATTTGACTAAACATTGAGGACAGGCTAATTTAAATTGATTTGCACGTTCTAGAGGGGTATCTTTAGTAAGGATAAGATTGTGGTTATAAGGAAAGGAACTATTTAAGTTAAACTATTTGTAAAGATTTGGGGGTCAGTTTGAGTTTAGGGTACAGAAGCGAAACGAAGAAAGATTAATAAGAGTTAGACAATGGTAGAGACGGATTCTGGGAGGCAATGATAACATTGAACTTCAACTATACGTTTTGATATCCAATGACAAACTTGAAACTTATGGGAACTTAAGGATTAACAAAAAGTCTACAGCAAGGAAATTTAAATTCTCAGGGATGGAAGGAATTGTAATGAATGATTCTGTGGTAAAGGGTTTTGTAAATGTCCTTTATGTACAGTAAAATTAATTGTAATTATTAAAAACCACTAAATTGTTTATAAGTGGTACCCTTGAAGATAAAGAAAATGTGCTTCAAGCATAAGTTTAAGGCGGGTATAGGCGCAATGAAATAAATTTTTGGCAAATTAGAGGAAATTTTGGGGAAATGTTGAGAAAATAGGAGGAAATTTCAAAGGAATGAGGAAATTTTGGGGAAATATTAAGAAACATTGAGGAAATCTAGAGGAAAGTCTGAGAAAATCTAGAGAACATTTTAAGGAAATAAAAAGTTTCTATAGGGAAGTAATGTTACTAATTTAACGTTAATTCAGAGAAATTTAGTGTAAATTTAGGGAAATTTCAGGCAATGCTAGAAATGCGGGAAATTAAGGAAAACGGTGGCAATTGTTAGGCAATGAAGGAAATGATAAGTAAGTCGTGACCAACCCCTAGATTCTGAATGATCATGAACAACGCTCAAATTAAAAACGAATGGGATACTGTTAGTTAACAAACTGAATTGGGATTTTAGTTTTTCGAAAATAACATACGTACTTACATGGAGAAAATTCATTAGAGGATTAACAAGCATTGATAAATACAACGATACAAGTTAAAATGCAAACACGTACCCGTACAAAAGCAGGACCAACATGCCTCGAAGACGGTCGAATAGTTTATGTGCATTATAGGAAAGTAATAAATGAATCCAAGGTTAACTCCTTTGCGTGTTAGATAAGAGCAATTGGGTGGTTTTAAAAGGCAAGTTATTTGATAAGCGAAAACGTTATGTCATTTAGGATGCGTAATTTAGGGTCATTGATTTCTCTCATTTCGAATACCATAAGTTTAACGAATTTGATGTAAATAATACTGTTTCTTAGGGCGGAAGAACCGTTAGCAGAATTAGAGTAACCAAACGTCACAGAGGAAGAACTAGGGTTTAGTGTACCAGGGCAGAGTTCGACCTTAAAAGAACCTTAAAGTAGGGAAAGCAACAGGAGCAGTTGCAGTATCGGCAAAACTCAAGGACAAAGGTGCTGGATAGACAAATGATTATGATCCCGTTAGGGAGACTGGCAGATGGTCAGTTCGGTTTTAGGAAAAATAGTGGCACGTGCTAGAGTAGGAAAAACTTACATGGCTTTCGTAGATTTAGAAAAAGCATTCGATAGGGTCAATTGGAATACTTAGGATAGTGAAGGAGGCAGGGATATATAAATATATATATAAAGATAGGAGGGTAATTTACAAGCTCTACAAGGAACAGAACGCGGTGATTAACGTAGAGGGTGAGGTGCAGAGGAGGGTTAGCAATATTTAAGCTTCACATAGAGGCAGGGATAAAAATAGAGTAAGGCGAGATTTTCACTTAGGGGTCAAAGTGTAGGGCAAAACAATACATATGCTGAGATACGCGGATGACATAGTAATACTAGTAGAAAGGGGAAGGGATCTAGAAACAGGATTAAACGGTATGGAGGGAATACTATCTAGACACTACAGTATGAAAATCAACAAGGAAACAACAAAAGGTATGAAATGCGCCAAAAGAGAGGATAGGAAAATGATAAAGATCCGAATAGGAAACGACACTTTATTATATAAAGGAATTTTGCTATTTAGGTAGCAGTAGCAAGATAGATAATCGTAGCAAGGAAGATATAAAATCCAGGATAGTGCAGACTAAAAAAGCATTTGAACAAAAGCGGTACCTGCTAAGATCCGGGATACATATAGGGGCTCGATCCGAAGTCGTTGTGATAGGCGTCAGGAGTCACCTCAAACTTATTTCATGCGTGGCTGTGAACGTGGTTGCATGACTGCTTGCAGGTCATCAGGTAAACCTTCTCCACCGGACACTTAGGACACACGAGAGAATATTACATTCGTACACATAATTATAAAATTTTTTTTGACATACCTAATGCTTCTTGTTGTAGATCTGAAGTGTAACGAACTCTGCGTCCAGTGTCATGGAACATCGTGCCTAAATGCCACGTCGTCTCTTCAGGGTGCCCATGCAGGTAAAGCGGAAGACGAGGAGAACTACGAGTCGGTAATTTCAGACGACCCACTACTACTAGAGGACGTCGAAGAGCCTGAAGAAGTGGAATCGGCAGAGGAGAATGATTACGTTCAGATATAAATGAATGTGTGAATATTTTTATATGAAAATACTGTTTTTACTTGTATAAATGGTACATAGAAATAGAAATACTTTGTTTTACAATGAATGTTTCCTTACACATGAAACTTGAAGGTAAAAGGTGACTTTACGCCACTCTTCAGTTACCTACTCGTGTGAAATTTCACGAGGGACATTTTCAGCTAAAAATATTTCATCTACCCCAAAGGTCGCGATATATTTGTAAAAAACCGCAAAAAGCCACGAAAATTGATGATTTTCGCCTACTTGTATGAATTTTCTAGGCTAAGAGGTAGACCTAGGCTAAATTCTGGGTGTATGCCTTGTACGAAATTTCACGAGAAATATTTTCAGCTAAAAATATTTCATATAGACCTCATAGATCGCGAGATATCAACCAAAAAGGGCGAAAACACGGTTTCTGGGGGGGTGATGGGGTGGCTGGAGCCTTTAGCACAGGGCCTGGGGGGTGGGATTTTTAATTGTTGTTTCTGACACCTAACTGAACGTATTCCAGCTATTTTTTCTTTTCTACGTCAAAATGTCAAGTTTGCCAATTTTACAGGCCCTACCGCCTAGACTAAAATTATAAAACTAATTAATTAGATAGACCGCTAGATAGCATTTGTGTTCAGTTTTTGATGTCTTTAGATTAGAGCGCAGGTATATAACATGTAAATAGATATAATAAAAATGAGTTTGAGTTGATGTTCGATTACGCTTTGTTGTGATTGTTTATTTGCCCCATAATTCAGCCAGTAATTCCGCTACCGCTAACGCTACGAAACACCTTAATTTGAGTGTTTGTGTTGCTCTTTAATTTGAATAGAAGATCATAAGTTCTTTATGCTTCTATATCCAAAAATGTGGCACTCTTTAATATTAGGTATGTAATGAAAACTAGTAATTGTCATTAAAAAAATATATGCCCCTCTTCGCCATGCAGGAGTACGCCACGGACCACAAATTTAAACTATGTCGATTGGTAGCAAATTTTGTATCATAGTGGATACCACGAAAAACTTCCATGCAAAAATTGTAGTTTTGAAGATATGTTCAGTGTTCCAGACAACAATTCCACTCTGTGTAATGTTAATTATTATACTCGGACTCTAACCCCACAGGTTGTGAGTTCGAATCTCACAACTTGATTTATTACAGAGTTTGTTAATATAATGGATAATCCACTGTTTTTGAATAAACGATTTCTTCTCCATTGGCGCATGATTTTGTTTAAATTGTGGATTAAATCTAGCAACATCGATGTATGTAGAACTTTTTTAAAAGTAACTAACTATTACTATTGTTTAAATAAAGTATTTAAACAATGCTATGTATTACTCTGCTTTTTAATTATCTAGTTATTCAAGTAACTTAAGTTACCTTTTAGAAAGGTGTAAAAACAATATTTTGGAAACGTTTAGACAAATTAAGAAATGGGAATAATAATAATAATAATAATAATAATAATAGTAACGCAACATGCACTACAAAGACATGTCCACCCAATAAAGTTACACGCCCTAGCACAATTAAAAAACACATAACTCCTTCTTCACCGAAGCACACCACGTTATCACAACCCACTCGTATTCAACCCAAACGCAGAAACCTATACAGCACTACTAGCTCACAAAATACTGTAATATCTCCATCAATAACCCAAGCAACCTCACAAATACAACCTCAAGAACAAAGAAACACCATAAACACAAGTAACGCAACATTTACTACAAAGACAGGTCCATCCAATAAAGTTACACGCCCTAGCACAGTTAAAAAACACAATACTCCTTCTTCTCAGAAACAACCCACTCGTATACAACCGAAACGCAAAAACCTTAACACAGGCTCACAAAATACTGCAATATCTCCACCAAAAACTCAAGCAACCTCACAAATACGACCTCAGGAACAAAGAAACACCATAAATACAATTAAAAAACACAAAACTCCTTCTTCACAGAAGCACACCACGTTATCACAACCCACTCGAATTCAACCCAAACGCAAAGCCAAAGAAACACTTACACAATAAACTCCATTTAATAAAATTACAGGAATTATTATAATGATTTTTTTGTTTTGTTTTCCTCTTTCCTGATAGCGTTGGCTATTGTGCCCATCAATAGGTATGTTGGTAAGTACGAATTACATTATCCCTAGATGTCCAATGTACGTGTGTGATTTTTTTTTTTTTTTTTAATGACCCTACATAACTTCACCAGACACAGACACTAATCGTTACTTGATTTTAATCCGTGCGATTAGTTAACCAGGCTAGACCTGAGTTCTCACAAGAAACACCGACAATAATAATAATAATAATAATAATGACTTTATTTGGACACACTGTGACAAATATATAAACAATACCAATATTATACATTCAACTTGGCGTCCAAAAGGCGAAGTTCACTAAGAGGCATGCAGCCCTTTGTGCTCTTCCACTTAACCCGTTTAATAGCAAACTAAAATTAATAAAAAATGTTGATGGTCTAAATTAACAAGAAAAAAAAATATACAAATAAAATTTAAAACGGAGTAACTTGAAAGTAGGTTAGTAACTATAAGATGTTAAAAGATCGTGGTAAACTTTTTGTTTAAATTTAGATGGTGTTAATTGTTTAACGTTCGACGAAAGTGAGTTATAGATCTTGGCTATATTATATATGAAAATGACTTTTTAAATAGTTCTAAGTTATGGTTAGGAATGGTAATCAAATCTTTCCGACGAACATTAATATTATGAACATCTGTTCGAAATGTAATTTTATTATATAAATAAGGTGGTGATTTAAACAAGATAATTTTGTGAAATGCAGTAGCAGAGTAGAGAAGTCGACTTTTTTCCATGTTTAGCCATGGTATACAATTTAACTTGTGAGAAACCCTTTCAAACCTCCTAATTCCATAAATTAAACGAACACATGAATTTTGAATAATCTGTATTCTTCTTTCAAGAAATTTAGAAAGACAGGGGCCATACACTGCGCTACAAAATGAAAAATGGGATAGCACGAGGGATCGACAGAGCATAATTTTTGAATTGCGAGAAAGTAAACCTTTAATTAAGGCCAGCAAACGCCCGTTGTGAACAATTTTTGATATGCGTTTGATAATTGAAATTCACGTTTAAGCTTAGCCCGAGATTTTTGGCTTCCTGAACCAACTCTAATTTTTTATTTCCGATTCTTATATCTAAGAGTGAGGAAACTTCGGCACGAGTAGCTGTGTTGTGTGATGCACCAAATAATAGCAACTTACATTTACTGGGTTTAATATGTAATGAACGTTCTTCAGCGTAATTTAGGAAGGTATTTAAATCTTCGTTTATTTCACCGTTTGCCTTCTCAACTTCAGTTTTAGAAAATGCATAATATAACTGCGTATCCTCAGCATACAGGTGGTAATTGCAATATTTTAATATGTTTATAATATTAGCAGTATATATTGAAAAAAGCAGAGGCCCTAAAATAGAACCCTGGGGAACGCCACATCGCAATGTGAGGCAAATGTTTTAGAAATGTGTCTCAGGTTTTGAAAATGTGTAGTAGGTAATTGTTTCAGATATGTGTAGTACGTTTTAGAGATGTATAAAAAGTGTGTGCGGAATGTTAGGGCAATTTGCAAATGTCTCTGGAACGCTTTAAATAATTTTGAAAATGCTTCAGAAAATGTTTCAGAAATGCTTCGTAAATATTGAAATAGTTTACTAAATATTGGAAATATGTGCGAAATTATAGGAATTTTAGAAATGTACTTAAAATGTTGGAACAGTTTTTAATTTAGAAAAATTAAGAAAATTTTAGAAGTGATGGAAATATGATGCCAATGTTTCAGAAATAAATATGTCTCAAGTAGCGAATTTTTGAAAATATTTTTAAAATATGCAGAAATTTTTGAAATGTTTTTCAAAATATATGTTAGAAATTACAGCAATACGGTGTTTCGATGGCTTATGTCCATATTAGATTTTCCATAGCAAGTAGTAAAACGTTCCCCTATTGAAATGCGGGTGTTAAAATTAAATTACTTTCTTATTTATTCATCCACATCGATGCAAATTCAATCCACTATAGCAGACTAATTGCCTATGTTCACGTTATGTATTTATTCCTATCATTGTTCGTTGCTAACATTTTACGGGGTCCGCTTTGGTTATACGCATATACCAATCAATGATGGCGCCACGATGATGAAAATGTTCGTTGCTAATTTGATGGACCTTGTGGAATTTTCAAAGTGTTTCTCATGCAAAAAACAAAAAACTTCATGATTATTCATATTTCAAACCACACCACTCTTCTGTGGAAATAAATAGAACTTCTACTGCCATAAATCCAATACTGTAGAGCCCTGTAGAGGGTGCAATTAAATAATCGCGCAATTTTCAGTAGGGTTGCAGTAATCGGAGACTATTTCTAACCTGCTTTGTTATTATAAAAAGTAAAAGTTCACTTTTTCATCCTTTTAAACCCTAACTGTTTCTAAGATTTATCAAGAGCTCCTAAAACTCTTCGAGATGTCGAAAAATCTATTTGGAATTGTGACAATACTGTAAATAAAGGGCTACATTTGCATTAGCAGGTGGGTAAGGAAATGATGATGCTTTTGTCATTGTCGTGTAACAGTACTTTGCGAGCAATTGCAATTAGTATGCAATTGCGCGTAATAGGAAGAGAAGTGTAGGCAGTACAAAAACTTCCGCAATTTTAACATAACTCGCACATTAATAAATATAAAAGGCTTTGATAAAGTATAAACAAACGAATAAATAAATGACGAACTACATAAAACAGTCCCCGATTGTTTATTT